GAACTATTTCATTCACACTGTTCTGTTTACTAGTGCAAGGTTTACCCGAGGAAATATTATGCATGAATTCGGAGGCGCAGTTCCAAAGAAGATCAAGCAGACATCTACCTGAGGAAATGATTGACTTTGCCATAAATGATTCCCCAGTAGCAATGCAGCCCAAGTGGTGAACAGGAAGCGAGGGAGCTTTCAAGCTCCCGCCGTTTTCTCTGGGGACCGGCCGGCAAAAAGTACTTGCAGTAGACGTCATACACTACTCATAAGGTTGCTAAAAAATTTTCGACAGCCCACGATCAGTTTTGCTCGTCTTGGGTTCATCAAGTAGGCGCAGTTCCCGAGTTTCCATCAACTCTATGTTTTACTTGAACCCAAATTGCACGAAATTAGCGAACTACACGCACTTGCATACCAATGGGTTTTAGATGGGTTTTTTCAGTCAAATAAACGCTGTCAATCCATGGCCAGTACACCTGGATAGACCTCACAACCTTGTTGACTAGCTTATCAGCAATTCTGAGATCTGGATTGGATTCTATCAAGCAAAAACAGTGAAAGAAAAGAAGCACCTTGCTGATATATTAGTGTCGACTTCCGGCAACCTAGTACCTTTTGTGTTCTGGCTTCACTCAGAGCTTAACAGGACATCCAGCGATATTCCAAAGTCGTAGAAAAAGGCTACCTGTGAACATCGCCTTCTGGAACATTTACATATGGCTCTAACAAACCGTCTGAGAGAGCGGCTCCTCAAAAAAACTTGTTTGATGATGTGGAATTATGATTTCAAACTGTGTAATAAAAATGTTTAAAAATCAGCAGTTTTCCAGTGCTGCATGGATTTGAAAATACTTTGAAAGAAATGTTGCAAAAAACACATCAAATAAGGATCAATCTTTCCGTTTCAGATGCTGCACTGTACAAGACTTATGAGGACACTGTTTTGGGAACCTTTTCTCACTACGTTAAATGTCGTTTCGGTTATAAACAGTCACCGTTAAGGCCAACACATAACCAGAGTCCGCTAGAATTTTCATGGTTTATTCGGAGGTGCCACTTGGATACAACTTAGATATATATACGAACCCCAATCAACACAAAATAATATGAGAGGGTGAGGCGTGAAACACTAAAAATCTGGGCAATTTGATTGCAAGCGTTTCATCACCAATCGAGGTGACATTGTGAGTGTTCTGTTAGGGAACTTGGTGGTGCGTAGTGATCGGTCGGTGGCACATCGGGTTTACGTTGAATTCACGTGCTAATTCGTAGGAGTGTATCACGAGGCATACGTTTGCTCGAGGTGACGAGTGTTCTGTTAGGGAACTTGGTGGTGCGTAGTGATCGGTCGGTGGCACATCGGGTTTACGTTGAATTCACGTGCTAATTCGTAGGAGTGTATCACGAGGCATACGTTTGCTAAGGTGTTCAGGGGTTCCACTGCTGTGGGCGGTTCACTCCGCAAATCCGGACCTAGAAATTCCCGAAATTCCAACAAGGGTGCCAATTAAAACTCGAACATGAACCAGTGGAACCCCAAAATATCCTTCTTGGGTTGGAATATGTCTCAAAGTAATGAATAAAAAAGCGAAATGAAAACAAAGGTTCATCAAAATAGCCGCGGTGACACGTATATCACTCACGATGACGAGAAGGCAAACGGGAGAGCTTAAAGAAAGCAAAACACACCCCAATGCAAAAGTGAAACAACCCAAAGAAAACGCACAAATAAAACTTAAAAATACAATACACTCGGATGACAAATCCAATCAAACAGAAGCAGACAAGATCGCAGCAGTGTATGTGTCCGGACCAATCAGAATTGCTCTGAAATCTACAAGAAGGAAGCTGTTGAATGAGCCTATTGTATACGAGTTGTCTGGACCATGATTCCAAGCAAATCTTACGTGGCTCAACAGACTTACAATAAGCATATTCCTCAATTATTTAGCTGCAACAACAGGTATCTGAACTACACCTCAGATAAATGAGGAAGTAGCCACTCAAACGTAAACCGATGAGATCTCCATGACTGGGGATGAAACGTTCACAAGCAGATTAAAGATCTTGACAAACAGCTAACCGAAAATCCACATTGCATACCGGCCAAATAGATGCTGCTTCAATGCCGGTGTATTCCGATTTTCTATATTGATGGTCCCTTTTTTGTCAAAAACAGACATAAGGGAAATTCTTCAGATATGTTTTACTTTACTGGCTCTGCCTCAAACTCTTCATGTGGCTATACGGACCGCTGTCGAGTAAAGCAACTCCAAAACTACCTTCGCAGCAATTGAAGGCTGATCCTAGTGTATGGCCAATTCTTCGGTGAACAGATTCATCAACATACTGTCCAGTGATTAGTGGAGTTATACCATTTAGAACATTTGCTCATCAGTCGTCGCAGCGGTTGCCATTGAAGGCATCAATTTAGTCAATAAATCTTGTAGATGAACCGTATCACAACAGAATCTGCATGCTCATCACCTCCAAAATAATGAATAAATTAGATGGAACTGCTCGCTCTTTACAAGAAAACTGTGAAGCATTAAGGAAGTTTGCACAAAAAGTGTCCAAAATTGCTAGCGATAAACGCTGTGAAAGCCTAAGAAACAAAAAAAAACTTTAAGGAAAATTTGGAGGACACTCTTCAGCCTTCATTCGAATTTAAGTATGCAGAAGCCTAAGAACAAAAAAAACTTTAAGGAAAATTTGGAGGACACTCTTCAGCCTTCATTCGAATTTAAGTATGCAGACTTGTTTTCATTTTCTGAAACACATAGTTGAGCATGTCAAACTTTGGTTTCAATTTGTGGTAAAGTAGGCTAACTGGAGATAGCCAGACAAAAATGAGTACACATTTCACAAGTGGAGAATGGGGCTGCTACTGAGGAAATTCTTGGTACGGTTGATATGTTCGCCGATTAATCCTTTAATCTTCTACGTCTTTTATGACCAGGGTTTTCATAACCGGGCAATATGCACTCGCCAGTTGCAGTCATCCCACTCAGTTGCTACGCAGACTTTATTCAAAAGGTTGATTTTTGTTATGCGACGCTTCGAAATTTGCAACCGATATGTAAAGGTGCCAGATTTTTAATCTTTTCTTATGGTGCACAGGTACTAAAGTGTAGAGTGAAATATGCTGGATGATAGACTCCATCACAGACAGCACTGCACAAAACTCGAGACAAAATTACTCGAGGATAAGGAGGTGCTCACTGCATACTCACAACCTGTTTGAATTCATTGGCACAGAAGTTTGAGAGGACGTAGCGTTAGGATATGGAACTCGTACCGTTATTGCCTCTATCTCTTGTGAACAGCTTTTCATTCAGTCACAATGAAATGCGGTTTTACTACTTACGTAAGTTTTCATACAGAAACCAATGTATTGGTAAACTATCAAGCGAAGATGGGATCTACCTTTTGGGCCCCGTTCATCATCATCATCATCATCATCATCATCATCATCATCATCATCATCGACAGCATGATATCAGTGTTCAACACCGATGCTTCACTGCCGTACAACCATGA